GCAGCCGAAATCCAGCCTCCGTCTTAGAAGAATGTCAAGATTTATGGAATAAGGGTTTTAAAGAAGTGACGCTGTTGGGGCAAAATGTGGACAGTTATTTATGGTTTGGTGGTGGTCCCAAAAAAGATTTTGAAAAGGCCAGCGATATTCAAAAAGCCACCGCCACTGATTTTGCCGCTTTATTGGATTGGATAGCCACCGAACTGCCAGGGTTAAGAATTCGATTTTCAACATCCAATCCTCAGGATATGAATGAAAACGTATTGCATGCCATGGCCAAACACAAAAACATATGCAAATACATCCATTTGCCCGTTCAAAGCGGTAGTACCAGTGTATTGCAACGTATGAATCGCCAACACAGTCGCGAAGAATATTTGGATTTGGTTCGTAAAATAAAATCGATTGTACCCGATTGCGCTTTGTCGCACGATATGATTTCGGGCTTTTGTGGTGAAACCGAAGAAGAACACCAAGACACGCTCAGTTTGATGGAATTGGTGAAATATGATTTTGGATTTATGTTTGCCTATTCGGATCGCCCAGGCACACCCGCCCATAAAAAAATGGCCGATGATGTACCATCGGATGTTAAAAAGCGTCGATTGCAGGCCATTATAGAAATGCAACAGACCCATTCATTGGAGCGTTTAAAAAGTTATGTGGGTCAAACATTTGAGGTATTAATAGAAGGCAATAGCAAAAGGAGCGATCTCCATTGGTATGGCCGAACCAGTCAAAATACCGTGGTTATTTTCCCTAAATTGGAAACAACCCATATGGGCGACTTTGTCAATGTTTTGATTGAAGATTGCACATCGGCCACATTAATTGGACAAATTGTAAGTTAATGGAAAGCATTCAAACCATCAAACAACGTTTTGGTATTATAGGCAACAATCCACAGCTTCATAGGGCTTTAGAAAAAGCCATACAGGTGGCGCCATCCGATATTTCGGTAATGGTATCGGGCGAAAGTGGGGTGGGCAAAGAATTCATTCCTAAGATAATCCACGCTTTGTCTATACGAAAGCACCATCCATACATAGCGGTCAATTGC